CGATCCGTGCCAGGTGCAGGGTCTGCTAGCTGGGTGCTGGCAGGCTTGCACCTGGCACGGGCACCGTAGCCAGCCCGTGCCCCTTTAAGGGGTCCGGGGCCGGGAGGGGGGTAATAGAGTTTCCCTGGTGTTGGCCAGAGTAGCCACCAGGGAAAGCTGGGTAAGGCTAGCCTCCCACTAGTTCGAATTAAATGGCTACACACCCCTTAATTCGAACTAGTAAGTTCGAACTAGGCTTAGTCCTCATACAATGAGGTTTACCTAGTTGGAACTAAGCGCTCCGTTAGTTCGAATTAAGTTTGAACTAGCGGAGCGCTAGTGTAGCGCCTATCAAAGTTAATTCGAATTAACGTCCGTTAGTTCGAATTAACTTTGTAGTGTAGACATACCCTCAGGGAGCATATCCCAGTGCAGCACCCAGCCCACTGGAACATCCTCTGCCATGGCTCCTCCCACGGCCTGCCCATGCTGGGGGCACCCTTCCTAGGGCCTGGGGGAGGCGGCCGGGTTTAGCTTGTTCACTCCAACCCTCCTAGGTGGGAAAGGCTGCGCTTTACACTCTTCCATGTGTTCTTCAGCCGGGACGCCCCCGTAAAGCCAGTGTGCTCTAGCTATGGTTTGGGCAGCAGTAGTCCCTGGGGCCCCAGCCAGCGCCCTGCAGAACAGTCCCGTGCACAACACCACAGTGCAAGCTCTGGGCTCAGCACCCAGCAGTGGGTACCAGCCGCCTAGTGTCTCAGCTTTCAGCTCTCGTATTTGTAATGAACCTTCCAGTAATAGGATCCAAAGCAGCTTTGCCTTGGGACTAGCCAGACGGCCTTTCCCCCAGCCTAGACACAGGTGACAGCCTGGCCAGCTCCCAGTGGGAACGGGCGGGGGGGCAGTGCCTCTGTTATTGGCACAAAGGCAATGGGCTCAAGCCAGGCCAGGGCAGTGGCGAGGCCTTACAAGCCAGAGAGCCATCTGTGACCCCCAGGCTGTTTCCCCAGGGTGAGAGCGTGTGGATTTGCAGTTCGAGATGGAGATGATAATAAATTCTCCTGCTGGAAGGAGGCTCCCAGACGTGAGCCCAAAGCTAACCCTGACCCCACTCACCCTGGACACGGCCATGCAGCTGGGGTACAAAACCCCATCCGGATCCTGCTATGTGCTAGAGATCCCTGGGGGGAGAGCAGGGCCTGATAGGCGCCAACAGCAACCTGAACAAGCCAGGTGAGTGAGGAAGAGGTGGGCTCGTGCCATGTCCACAACCCAACAGCCGACCCCCGCTTTGCCTGGCCCGTCCCATGGGGAGAGGAGAGACAGCACAGAGCTGAGTGGGGGACATCACCCCGGTGAGCTACCAAGCCGAGAACAGCACCTGGCTCCTCAAACTGCCTGCAAAGCTCCACGGGCCAAGCCAGCCACACAACAGAGCCTCTTCCCAGGGGGTTTCTCTCACTTTTGGCTTGTTGTCTTGGTGAATGGTGGGGACGCCTGCACTATCTGCGTTTACCTCACTTGCGGGTAGGGTGGCCAGGTGTCCGGTATTCTACCGGAAAGTCCGGTATTTGCACTCTCTGTCTGCTAAAAAAAGATCAAAAAATACCAGACACGTGCAATGTCCGGTATTCTCTGATTTTTCCTGTCTGCGCAGCGGACGGAACCTGGCGTGGGCGAGGGGAGCGGCTAGAAGGCGGGGCCACAATTGGCGCTAGGAGCCTGTGATTGCACAGAAGCCTGGCGGGGGCGGGGGAGTGGCTGGAAGGCGGGGCGCGATTGGCGCTGGGAGTTCTCTACAATCATTTCAGCTGCAGGATAAAAAGGAGCTCTTCTAAATTCTTCTATAGCCTTCGCTTTAGAGGAATAGAAAACAATGAATATAGCATGCACAGTTGCACAATTACTTCTAAGCCTCTTTACATAGAGATGGTGTAGGATGAAAGCTGTTTATAATAAAGGTAAGCATTAAACACAGCATGTGTGTTCGTGGCAATGGCTTTTTTTTTGCTCGACAAATTCTTAGCCCGCGTGTTCGTTATTCTTTGGGAAGCCATCTGGCAACCCTACCTTCGTGGGGAGGTGCCCAGTTCATGTGTATGTGAAGCAACTGCACCATGCTGCTAGTCCCTGTAGGAAAGTTGCACCTGGACGTACCTGACTCCTAAGCAACCAGACCACACTGTGCCGCTTGGCTTTGGGCAGGTATTGGGCAAACAGCTTGCCTGAGAGGGGATCCTTGGGGCTGGGAAGCAGATGGTGGGGGGGTTGAGCAACCCGTTCCATTCTTAGTGCTTCAAAGAGAGGCAGCAGAGTGTCTAGGGCTAAGAAGGAGGCGGCTCTGTCTCGGTGAGGCCAAGGCTTTGTGGGTAAAGGTTCAGGCTGTGTCCAGCCACCTGCACGATGTGACCGACTGTTCGTGCCTTGCTTTGATCAATTGTTGATCTCGGTTTATTTTCAGGGCAAAGTTATTCATTCTCCTTCGTGCTAGTGGTAGTTTCTTACTGAAGCCTGGAGCTCCCATTGGACGGCTGCCCTGGGGAGCATTGCAGGGAATTCATTAGCTTTACATTTGCTTGTTTGTGCTCTCCATAAAAGGACAGTGGATTGGTTCCCTCTCGCTGAGAGCCTGGGAAGTCCAACAGCCCACAAAGGGATCAAGTCACTAGCCTGCTCTGGAATTAAAACCCTTTACCACTGCACAAGTGCTCTGGGACTGTTAATAGCCAAATCTCCTAAACAGGGGAGGCAAGACATCACAGCCCTGATCCATCTACTCCACAGGTAAAAGACAGGCAGAAAACACCAAGCCTTCAGTATGCCCAGCCCCAGGAAGGATCCCCTCCAGCCACTGCCCCCCACTTTGCAGAGCCCCTTTATAAAGAGCCCCTCACTGGAAAAGGGGACTGCGCAGTACTGGGATGAGATCAGGACCCCCCCAGAATCTGGATTTTACACAAGTTCTTTTCCACTTTCCTGGGGTAACCAGCCACCTCCCCAGCGGCGCACTGACCGGTCATTCCCCCCAGCTCGGACAGACTGTGCTGCAACTTGCAACAAGCCCTGTTCCTGGGGAGCTGCGTTTTCACACATCCACTCCTTAGCCAAGGTGCCATTCCCAACACGCAGCGTATTCTACAAAGTGGCGTTCAGACTCCTGGGAGATGGTGGCTCCTCAGCCCCCAGCTAGGCCCCCTGACATGGCTCAGCCGTTTGCTCCGGGCCCTGTGCTCCCCACCCCCACGGTCTCTTCTCAACCTCACGCGGGCCCTGAGCTGCAGAACTGAGCCAATGGCTGTCATGGCCATGGGAAACTGGCTCCTCACGCTGCATTGCTCACTCACAGATCAGCTTCTTCCCGTTGTCCTGAAGGGACTCGAGGTCTGATCCACCGCTCTCCTGGAGGGCCTCCCGTGCCAGCAGCGAGTCCGAGCTCTGTGGCCTGGGCAGCTGCCGCACAGGGGAGCTGTTCTCCACTGCTTGCTCCTCATCTAGGAAGAGACGTTGCTGCCAGTGCTGGGGATGTGCTGAGCTAGCCTGGCCACCGTGCGCAGAGAACGACCCAGCTCCGCTCTCGGGGGTGGGACAGACTGGACCAGCAGGCAGAGCCACCTCAATCGTCCTATGGATGGGACTAGCGGAGCCCGGGGTGGCCTGGGGTATTACCTGGGGGGGTTGCCCCCCTCCCACACTCACTGCGATAATGGGAGTTGGAATGACCCAGTAGCCTGCTCCACTCTGCCCCGCTGCCTGTCTCCCACGCTTCACTGAGGTGGCATGGTCTGGGGGAGGGAGCCCTGTGCGAGGGGTTCAATAGAAGCAAAGAGGGGGGAGCAGGGGCAGGAAAGGGTGGGGCAGATCAGAGTGAGGCTTGGGGAAGAGATGGAGTGAGGATGGGCTGGGGCCTGCAGAGACCCCTCCCTGGATGCCATGCCTGAGGCACTGTGGGAGGGTCGCCCTGGGTCCCATGCCCCTCTAGGGATGGCAGCAGATCTTCTAACTTCCAGCTACTCTGCTCCTGAGCACAAGGGAGTGAAGGGCTATTGGCTGTAGGGTCCTCTCGGGGGATCTCAGTCATTTAACGTGAAAAGGCCAGATGGGAGCCAGAGGAGTCACTCTGTCCCACTGAGGAGTCGTCCCTGGTCCCATGGTTCCCTACAGGCACAAAGCTTGCAGATACTAGATGCCTGAATACTAGCTGTCCCCCACCCTCACTCACTTTCACCAGGATGGGGCAGAGGGTTGGAGTGTGGGAGGGGGTGTGGACTCTGGGTGGGAAGAGGTTCTGGGCTGGGTGCAGGAGGAGGTGAGGGTGCAAACTCTGGGAGGGAGTTTGGATGTGGGGGGCCCAGGGCTGTGTGCAGGAGGGGACTGGGGTATGGGACAGGGTGTGGGCTCTGGGAGGAGAATCAGGGCTGGGGCAGGAAGTTGGGGTGAGCGCTTGTCTTGGGCGGTTCCAAGTCCCAGTCACCAGCACAGTAGGACTAAGGCAGGTTCCCTGCCTGTCCTGGTCCCACACTGTTCCCAGAAGTGGCCAGCACATCCTTCCCTGTGGCCCCTAGGCAGGCAGCCATATGGTCCCATGACCTGCTCCTTCCTGCAGGCACCACACCTGCAGCTCCCCTTGGCTGCAATACCCAGCCAATAGAAGCTGTGGAGTTGCCACTTGGGGCAAGGGCAGCACATGGAGACTCTCTGCACTCCCACACATGGAGGCCACAGGGAGGCACCTGCCAGCTGCTTTAGGAGTGTGGCAGGGCCAGGGCAGGCAGGGAGCCTGCCTTAGCCCTGCAGTGCCCCTGGACTTTTAGTGACTGATTTCCCGGTTTGGTTTCAGGAGCTTATGGGAGATGGAACTCAATTCCAGGAGATTCCCAGCAAAAGCGGGAGGCTTGGCAATCCTATGGGGTCCTGGCACCCAGCCGATGTCTTGTTCTCCTTGGGACCGGGGTGTTCCATACAGCAGTAGGGAAGGTGCCAAGCTCTGCAGTTGACAGCAAACCGCTCCCCACAGCTGCCCCCACATGCTGTGCCCAGTGCAGGAGAGCAGTCTAAAGGGATGGGGGAGTGAAACCTAGAGGCATCCAGCAGCTGAGTCTCTGCTTGCTGCCCAGTGAAATGTCTGGCTGGTGAGCAGCCAGGTGCCTGGGGTGCTCTCACCTCTGAAGTAGCCATAGTACTGGAGATGGTGGTGCATGAAGCTCTCATAGGGATCCGTGAGCAGCTGTGGGGAGGGGAAAGGGAAAGGTGAGACCCAGGCCTCCACACCTCTGGATACCAGCACACAAGAGTAAAATGAACAAACGGGACAGAGAGCACAGGGCCAGTCCCCTCTAGCCACAGCCCTGTCGGGCCAGCCCCTTCACCTGTGCCGGTTCAACCCCGATGCCCAGCACTGCTCTCCTCCCCTTTCCTTGCTGCAGTCCCCCATGGCTTAGCCCCATTGGCTGAAATCAGTGAATGGATCCCGCTCCCCCCAGGCCCAGTTCTGCACTAACCTCAGGGGTTGGCCCCTGGGCTGGAGACATGGCAGGCAGCAGTGACAGCTCTGTCGGTCACTAGGGGAAGCAGAGAAATTGGTCACCCGGAGTGGAAATGGACCTGATGGCCCCCAGCCCCTGCCTACACACAAACCAGACCTCCCATTCTATATGTTCCCACACACTTCATGAAGGGAATCTCAGCTCTGCACCCCCATTCTGCTCCCTCAGCAGCTCTCAGGATCCAGGGCACATTACTCAGAGTAGAGGCTGCTCTGGTGGGGTATCTGCCAAGTTATCAAGAAACATCCCAATCACAACGCACCCTCACATGCTGCTTGTCACAGCCATCACCTGCCGCACGGGCCTAGGTGCTCCATGGACACCGCACCTCTTCCCTGCACCCCTAGCTATTGCCTGCCCCACGGGCTGTGTGCTCTGGGGCTCAGCACCTCCACTTTCACCCCCATCCATGCCCATTTGGTTCAAGGCTGCCCCCCCGGCAGCTGACAGTGCAGAGCCAAGTGCTGGGCTAAGCTGGAATCACAGGCAGTCAGTTGGCATGTGGAAAACAGGAGGCCGGGCTGCTGCTTGTGCTGCAGGGCCACCCCCCTCACACCCTCAGCCCAGCCACCCCCAAACACTAGCCCCCAGGGCCACAGCCCCCGTGGGACCCCCCCCTCACACCCTCAGCCCAGCCACCCCCAAACACTAGCCCCCAG